ACCATCGAGCCGGCTCAGCACCCACAGCACCCACAGCAACGCGGTGGGCTTGCAGGAGATGGGAAATATGGCTGCAGTGCGAGCACTTGGGTCTTCTGTCCTGTAACCAGGTGACGCTAGGGAGCTGGATGGACAGTGACTGCAGCCAGGCCCTCGCGATGCACGACCGCGGGACAGAAGCCCGCCAGCCGGTGGGGTTGGTTCTCCCAGAGTAAGGAGTTTCTGCAAAAGTGGAAGAGAAATTGGGGTGGGGGGGGGGTGGGGGAGAACGTGATCAGAATGGTAAGTAAAAACAAAAGAGCTCAGCAGCCTCCCCGTCGGGGAATCGAACCCCGGTCTCCCGCGTGACAGGCGGGGATACTCACCACTATACTAACGAGGACCGGCCCTGGCGACGCCTCTTCAGGTGCCCTTTTTAAGGCACATTCAAGTTCCGCTGCGTCTCAACGCACAACACGAGGCCGAGTATTTTTTCGGGGTAGCACACAGCCTGGCTGGAAGTCCCGATTGTCAGGAAGATTCCTCCCGCTCCGGCTGCCGCGGATCCCGCTCGGAACTTTTAAGAGCAAACCGAAACCCGTTTACTGCTTGGGAAGAATTCATTTCCGTCCGTTCATGTAGGTTCTATTTTTTTATTTAAGAAGAAAAAGCTTTTAACTCCTCCCTTTCATGTTGGGGGAAAAAAAAAACGGGGGAGGCTGCCGAAACCCGGGATCGAACCAGGGACCTTTAGATCTTCAGTCTAACGCTCTCCCAACTGAGCTATTTCGGCCGCCGCTAGGGCCGCGCTGCGCCGCGCTCCTCCTGGTCGTCCTGCCCGCCCGGTGTCAGCCCGAGGATGCGCGGCGCCGCGCGGGGCCAGCGGGGACTCCCGCACCTACCCTTCCCCGTCCTTCAAGGTCACCGCTTCCCAACCCCCCTCCCCACCCCCCCCTCCCCACCCAGCCCCTTACTGCTTACTCTGAGCTTAGGTATGTTTGTCCTTGTCCGTTCTCTATGCCCCCAGCTAAAATGACAGAGCCCCTGAGGGTCAATTCTGTATCCTTCGAGGTCCAGAACAGTGCCTGGCACCTTGTAGGTGCTTGTGCCTGGCACCTTGTAGGTGCTTAATAAATGTCCGTTGAATTGATGAGCAGATGAATGGATGAACGAAGACTACCTGGCTCAGAACTCCACTTTCTCAACCTCCTCTTTATTTTTTTTTCCACCTCCTTTTTTTGTGATAGGAACAAATTAACCCCTTACGTGCAACTCCCCAAGCAGCCTAATAAGTAAGGGTGTGACAGGGACGGGGATGCCGACCAGCCGAGCTGGGTGGAGGACACACTGGCGGGATTGTGACTTTCCTTGGGTTAGTGAGTGACTCAGATCCAGAATCCAGGCGTGGCCACCATACCTGTGGCACCTGCTGAGCTTCAAGGCATCTCTGCAAGAGATCAACATGTTGGCCTCTAGGTTTGGGGTTGTCTGCTTCCCTTCCTTTTGGGAAAAGGAAGGGCAGTGGTGTCTGGGAGAGGATGTGGAGTGGGGAGGTCCTTTAGGATGTGAAGCCATTTAATGAGTGTCTGCTAAGCACCTAGTGACCCTCTGGCCCGGTCACAAATACACTAACCAGATATTTGATATAGTAACAATGCTATGAAACAAAATAAACCAAGGTTGTTTGCATGTAGGCTTTCCTTTTGCATTGTTTCTTCAAAGGCAAAATTTCATGCATTGGCTTATCAGGTTAGATGGAATACACAGCTTTCCATGCACTTTTCCGAATGGGTTGAAGCCTTTTACACTCCCATCCACCTGTTCCATTCCTCTCCTCCCCAAACAAGTCTTGACCTTTTTTTTTTTTCAAGTAATCTTTTAAAAAATTGAGGTGAAATTCACATAACATAAAATTAACCGTTTCAAAGTAAACAATTTGGTGGCATTCAGTATATTCACAATACTGTGCAACCACTACCTCCGTAGTTCTTCAAAAACCATTCTTTAGAAACCACTTAAGTGTATCATTTTGGTAAAAATCAAATGAAGAAAGGAGGGGAAAAAGTAAAAGGAAGGAAGGAAAGGAGGGAGGTAGGGAAGGAAGGAGAAAAATAAAATTCAAACAGTGCAAACAGGAACAGAATGGAAGGCAAGAGTCTTCCCAGCTATGCCAATAGGCAGTGTCCGGAGTAGACTGTGATTGATGCGACCTAGGCCAAGCTGGGGAGCTGCTCTCTGCTTGCACTTCACACCAGCCTAATGCGACCACAGAGTGTGCATCAAGGAGCCCGTGCACGGCAAGAGCCTCTTAACTGTTAGCTATTATGTGATGCCTCAGAATGAGAGGTTAATAACATACTCACAATATACACGTGTTTTATACACCGAGCACGACCACCCAGCCTGCCAGGAAAACCTGTTTTACTGTTAAAATGGGTGCCCCAGCCTCCCCGTCGGGGAATCGAACCCCGGTCTCCCGCGTGACAGGCGGGGATACTCACCACTATACTAACGAGGATGAGCCCTCCTGCCCCCTCTCCGAGTTAATTCATATAGGTAGAATGCCTGTCCGATTCTGCCCAGATTTCTAAAGGGGAAGCTTCGGCATCCCCGGCCAGTGGGCTGCCCCCTCAGAAGGGGCCTTCCGGGAGGTCTCTCTCGGAATCGGTGAGACACTGAACAAGGAAAAAAATGTGCAAAAAGGACGGAGATGTGGACTCAGATATCCTGATTTCTAGGAAGCACAACCCACAGCTAGGGGATGTAGCTCAGTGGTAGAGCGCATGCTTTGCATGTATGAGGCCCCGGGTTCAATCCCCGGCATCTCCACTTATTTATTTTTTGCTTCAAATTAGTCGCATTGAAGGAGGGTAGCACAGGCAAGGGGTCCCAGGTGCCCCCGATTGGTGGGTCTGAGAAATACGCTTCCATGGACAGGGCAGCGCTAGGAAAGCTCCCTGACCTGGTCCCAGATGTGGAAGTCCTTTCTCCCTTCGAGATTTCCGTGGAGCAGTCAGAGGTGGGTCCAGGAATCCACATTATTTGAGCCATCAGGAAGTGATTTTTTAACATGCAGTGCAATATTGGTTTCAGGAGTAGAATTTAGTGATGCATCACTTACATACAACGCCCGGTGCTCATGCCCACCCCCCATCTAGCCCATCCCCCACTTCCATCAACCCTCAGTTTCTTCTCTATCCTTAAGAGTCTCTTAGGATTTCATTCCCTCTCTTTCTCTCTCCCTTTCCTTCATATGTGATCCTGTTTTCTTTCTTATATTCTACATGAGGGAGGTCATACGGTATTTGTCTTTCTCTGACTTATTTCATTTAGCACAATAGTCTTTAGCTCCACCCACATCATTGCAAATGGCAAGATTTCATTCTCTTTGATGGTTGAGTAGTATTCCATTATATATCTAGATCTATAGATACACACACACACACACACCCCACATCCATTCTTACCCCACATCCATTCTTCAGTCTGTAGACATCTGGGCCCTCTCCCTAGTTTGCCTATTGATAATGCTGCTATAAACACTGGGGTGCCTGTATCCTAGTGCAATTGCTGGATGTAGGGGTAGTTCTATTTTTAACTCTTTGAGGAAACTCCATATGGTTTTCCAGAGTGACTGCATCAGTTTGCATTCCCACCAGTAGTGCATGAGGAGTCCCTTTTCTTGGCATCCTTGCCAACACCCATTGTTGTTTTTTTTTTTTTTCCCTTATCTGATGGAGACAGAGAGAGTACAAGCAGGGAGAACCCCACCAAGCAGGGAGCCTGATGTGGATCATGATCTGAGCCGAAGGCAAATGCTTAACCAACCGAGCCACCCAGTCACCCCTCATACCTGTTGTTTCTTGTGTTAATTTTAGCCATTCTGACAAGTGTGAGGTGACATCTCAGTGTGGTTTTGGCTTGTTTCCTCAATGAGGAGTGAGGTCAGGCATCTTTTCATGTGTCTGTTGGCCACCTGGGTGTCTTGGAGAAGTGTCGATTCAGGTCCTCTGCCCATTTCTTAACTGGATTAAGGCAGTGATTTCTGAGGAGGGTTTTGTAACTGGTCATGTATTCAGTGACTCTTGCATGCATTGAGCACCTACTGTGTGCCCAGGTACAGTGCTAATTAAGTATTCCAGTATTCCTGGATAAGCGAAGTTTGAGTTTTAGAGACTAGTGTTCAGCGATTAGGGTAAGTTTTGCCAACGCAGTAACACTGATGGGATGGAGAATGAAGGGGGAGGGTGTGGGCACTGCTGTGAACAAGCTACCAGGGAGACCTATCTGCAGAAGCAGCGACCGTGGCAGGTGCTAAGGCCTGAGTCTTGGGGGTGGGGCGCTGTGTTGAAGGGACAGAAACCAAGCCCTGTGCATGGAATTTGGTGAATGAGGGTCCAAGGGGCTTGAATTTTATCATCAAAGATTCCAGAAGGCCTGATGTGGAAGGACAGGATCAGACTTAGGTGCTAAAAGGCTCGCTCTGGCTGCCATGTGAAGAATACACCATAGGCCAGCAGGTGGACGCTGGGAGACTAGCCAGGATGTCACCACCATGGCCAAACAGAAGCTGCTGGAGGTTTGCTGGGCAGAGGGTGGGAATCTGAGATCTGGGGTGTGTGCGGCAGTGGAGCTGGGGAGCATGAGGAAGCTCTGGACAAATTCTGGGGGTAGGACCCACAGACCTTGCAGATGGCTTGAATGTGGGGAAAGTAGGGGGAAACTTTCTGGTTTGGGGGTCCACTGGGGTCAGTGCCCAGGTTGTGGAGAAAGTGAGTGATTTTGGAATATTCAACGTGTATATCTGTTGTTTTATTTATGCATTCATGTTACGGAATTTATGTGTTTACACTATAATATTAGCACAAATTGATGTAGGACAAATGCCTGGGTTAAGGAGAGGGAATCAACCGCTACACACATGCTGGAACACCTGGGTGAGCACCCACCCAGACTAGTGCATGTGGGCAATGTCCCCAAGACCACCCCCACAATCAGAGATCTGCTAGACTCGCACGCAGTTGTTCTCACAGCTCAGATTTATTACAGTGACATGCTTGGAAAGGGAGCACCACCCTTGCTGGGAAGGGGACACATAGGAAAGAATGAGGTCACCCTCCTGCTCACCACGGCTGTGCCCCCAGCCCTGCTAACTCTCAGGGACTAATGTAGTCCCCAGAGTGGCATGTGAGATAAAACCATTCTCCACCAAATAATAAATAGTTATAAAATGTCCAGATGTCTTGTATCTAAGATGAATGAGGGTTTCCAGAGGCTTGACCTGCCTCCCAGGAGCAGTCCACACACCAGGGTGACCATGCTGGAAACTGGCCACCACCAGCCCCCTTGGTCCCCAGACCAGTCCCTGGCCTCGCAGCCAGGCCTCAGGTCAGTGGTCAGAGGTTGGGGGGCCAGGCTTTCTCAACGTTGGCGTGCATGGCCTCTGGGAGCCACTGGCAATACTCAGCAAGCAGGTCTGCAGGGGGCAGGAGGGCAGGCAGTCAGAGTGGCTCTGTACCCTGCTGCCCGCTGCAGGGCAGATCCTCCCACCTACCCTGGGTTGCCCAGGTGGGTCCCATCTTGTCCATGTGCAGCCCCTTGGCCACAGGTCATCTGCCCTGGTCAAACTCACATTTGGGATTCTTTGTCCAAGCAGCCAGTAAGGCCTCTCGGCAGTTGGCTTGCTCAGCCACAAGGGCTTTCAGAAGACTCTCTGTCCTGGGCTGCAGCCTATAGGTGGGGATGCAGGTTGTAGGGCATCACTGTGCCCAGAAGCTGTGGTATGGGGTGGGTACCACTGCCAGGCCAGCCTTACCTAGGACAGTGAAGGGTCTCCCTCTGTCATGCTGTGGGTGTTGGCCAAGGAGAAGGATCTAGACTCTATCACCCCTCCAACCCCATCTCCTCTCACACTTGAATCTGATCCCACCCTGGCTTTCCTCATCATCACTAAGTGCTCCCACCCAGACTGCTTCTGTACATGCTGCTCATCCTACCTAGAACCTTCCTCCACATTTCTGCTTACAACCTTCCCTCCTCCCCATCTGCTCAGACTCCTTTGACCAATCCTACTCCACCAGATGCCTCATCTCCACCATCCTGCTCTGTCCCTTTGTAGCCCAGTTCCCACATGCCATCTGTACTAGTTATGTTCTCTTTGCTGTCATCTTCCACAGGGACAGGGTTGTGTCTGTATCCTAGCATGAGAACATGCCTGGCACAGAGCGGGGGCTCAAGACTGTCTGCTGGGTCAAGGACCTGACTGGCAGGGGGCACCTGGCCCCACGCGCCCACCGACTCCCAGGGAATGCTGGTACATGTGCATGCCTGCCTGCTCCCTATGTGTCAAGCCCCCTGCCCCGTCTAGGATGCCAGCCTTAGGAAGGGGACGTTGCCTTCTTGGAGCTGGGTTACGGGCAGAAAGAAAGCAAAAGGGAGGGGCAAAGATAAGCAGAAGGTTGTTGGGATGGGGGTGAGTCTATGCTCAGCCGGCAGGCAGCCTCCAAGGCTCAGATGTGCAGGATGCCTCCTGCTGACACCTGGAGCTCATAATGGGCTGACCAGGGTCTCCCTAAAACCTCCAATAGTGACCTTATTTGGAAAGAAGGTCTTTGCCGATATCATTACTTAAGAGAAGTTCATATTGGATTGGGTGAACCCTAAATCCAATGACTGGGAGTCCTTATAAGAAGAGAAAACACAGAGAGACACAAGAACATGAATAAAAAGGCAGACATCAGAGGAACGTGACCACAAGCCACGGAATGCTTGGATGCACCAGGAACAGGAGAGGCAGGAAGGGCCCTCCCCTAGAACATTTAGAGGGAGCACAGCCCTGCTGATACCTCGACTTCCAACTTCTGGCCTCTGGGGCTGTGAGAAACACACTTCTGTTGTTTTAAGCTGTTTGGTTGGTGGTACTTTGCTACAGCCGCCCCAAGGCACTAACACTGCATTGGCTCCCTTCACCCCCACCTGCTACCCTGATGCTCCCGAGGAAGCCTATACCTGGCCCATGTCTTCAGCATCGTGCTAGGGCTGGACAGTAAACAGCCCCGGTAGGAGGCCAGCTTCTGGAAAACCTGAGGAGAGACCACGGGACGGGGTGAGGGATTCTGGCTCACTTTCTGCCCATGGTACCGGGCAAGGGGGTGAGGGAGCTCCTGGGCTGCCTACCTGCCCTTCCAGCAGAAACCGGGCAAAGTGCTTGTAACAGTCAATACCCTCTGGAAATTCCACCTGGACTGCAGGGAGCGGCCAGCCAACACGATCTGGAGGGCCAGAGTCCATGAGCAAGGGGCTGGGGTGGGGGGGTTCCCCAGATCCCCAGTCCTGTTCCTGAGCCCCCGGTCCCACCCACCAAAGAGGCAGAAGGCCTGAGGTGACATCACCTATGACATACATTTCCAGGGCACATGGTGTGGAACCCAAGGCCGGCAGGAAGTCACCCTGACTCACAGAACACACTGGCCCGGTGACACAGCACCCGCCCCTTCTCTGGGCAGTAGACAGGGGGTGGCTCCTCCAGGGGCTTGTCAAACTGGCAGTAGGAAGGCAGCAGGACTGGGATCCACTGGACCTCCACAGCCGAAACGCCTGGGGGCCAGGAAGAGAAGGCCAGGGGTCACAGTGGGCACTGTGGCAGGGAAGAGGCCCAAGGTTCTTCCCCCGCAGGGTCCCAGTGACATAGCTGCAGTGGGTCAGGCAGTGGGTCAGGCAGGGGGCCAGCCACCAGCCTGGCTACCTTTCATGTACATCTTGGTGGTCTCCATGATCTCCTGGTAGACCACAAACTCTGGGAGCTCTTTGAAAAGGACAGAACTGGGGTGGATGAAGACGGGGTCATCAAGGAGAGGGGTCTGCAGAGAGAAGAAGAGCAAGTATGAGTCCAGGAGATGCAGGGACGCCAGGTGAGACTCACCCACAGGAATTCGATTAGGCACTCAGCTGGAGGGCAGGAGAGCATTTGGTCTCTGATGGCGTGGCCATGTATGCATGTGTGCTTATGTGTGCATGCATGTGTATGCGTGTGTGCATGCATGCACATGGATACACATGGGGCGGCCCTGTATGAGCAGTACCACCCACTGCTCTGCAGAGCCAGGCTGCCAAGTGGATGAAGCAGAACACAGGATGGCACGTGAGAGAAGCACAAACCACTATTGTGAAATGTCCCAAGCAGACAAATCCACCCATGTCTGTGTAGATTCACAGGGTGGGGATATGAGCAGAAAATGGGGAACCACTGCTAGGGGGCATGGATGTCTTTTGGGGGAGAATGAAGATGCTCTGAAGCCTACTGTGGGGATGGTCACATGGCTCCATAGAGACGGAAAACCACTGATTGGACGCCTTAAAAAGGTGAATTTACGATATCCGATTTCTCGCTCAATGTAGTTACAAAAATAAAGTTGGGGGCAAAGCTAAGGAATATTCACAAAGGAATATGTGAACCCATCATACACCCCACCCTGCTCCCTGGCGTGGCCTTTCCCGTGGGTGAGGAGAATGTGGCTCCCGGCAGCCCCTCGCCAGTGATGTGGAGTGCCTAGGCGGGCAGGCCCTGAAACAGCTAGGGAGGGCAGGGTGGTGGGGAGGCTGGTACGGCCACCTGCCCACACACCCGCGCATCCCTGGGGCCAACCTTGTAGGCATTCTTCCACTTGTCGTCCAACAGGTCCTCACTCTGGACCCTGCGGGCCAGGTGGTCACCCAGGCCGGCCGCCACAATCTGCCGCAGGTAGGTCACCTGGCTCTCGGAAGGCGGCTGCATCTTGGGGTCCATGAAGAGCCCAGCCTCAGGGCACACGGTATTGACTGTGGGGAGAGCCAAGTGTGACAACAGCAGTGGTAGGGACAGTGAGGCCTGGGGCTGCCCCTGCCCTGACCTTCTGGAAGGGCTTGCACCACTGAACGTGGAGCTCCAGGCTTACTCTGCCTCTTCTCCACCAAGGCCACCAGAACCCTCTGCAGGGCACAGCTAGCTGCATGCCCGAAACCTTCGTCCTTCTCTTCCTTAGAACAAAGCCCCAGTTCCTTAGTGGGCAGCAGAGCGAGCTGCTAGGGAAGAGCCTGCTGGGCCCACACAAGACCTCCTCACTGGCCCCAGTGCAGGACCTTGCATGCTTGGAAGGGACCCGATGAGTGGGTCATCCCCCAGTGTGGACAGCAGAGCAACGCCATCTACGCGGCTGGTGGGAGTCACCTGTGCCACGGAGCCAGGCGTGAGCTCAGGCCAGGCCTCCCCACTCTGCATGGGACGAGGGCCTGAAGCTGTGCAGATTCCTTGGAGGACAAGAAAGGAGAAGGGGGCTCTGGGTCCTGCAGCTTGGAGGGGGGTGTGGCAGGGAGGAGGAGGATCAGAATCTGGAAGGAAGCAGGGCTGGCAGGAGGCAGATGGTTTCTGTTCTGAAGTTTTCTCCCTAAACCTCCTCTGTCTTTTCTACAAACCTTCAGCAAAACATATGTTTAACATAAAGGGAAAAAAAACTAAGAGATAGTAAGAAAGTAGCCTCCAGTGCCTGCCAGAGTCCCCCCCCCCCCCCCGGCCTGGTCTCCAGCAGCCCAGCTCAGGGGCAGAAAGTAGGGGACTGAACTGTCGGCTGCTCCCTTACTCCCAAAAGGGGCCCTCTACTTGGCTGAGGTGCAAGGGAGAGGGGAACCCCAGGATGAGACTATGGAGGGTTGCGGGGAAGCAGATGTGGCAAAGAGCAGGTCCAGGCCGATCCTGGGGACAGAGGGTGATGAAGAGGGACATTACCAAGGAAAAAGATGAGACGGAGGAATAGCCTGATGAGAGACAGGGGGCATGTTACCCCCTCTGTTGGTGGGTATGGCCAAGAGGCACTCAGTACTGGTTTTGGGTTAGAAGTAATTCTCAGTGAGTAGGTGAATTTGCAAATGGAATCCATGGTAACAGGGATTAATGGAATGTGGTTAACATCGCTCAAATCAACCTAAATCACTGAAACGGTAAAGTTCTCTGCCGGGTGTTGCCTGAGAGGGCCTGGGGAGCCCCCAGAGGCTGGCATCGGGGGTGGGGGGTGGATGGTACCTGCAGTGGTCAGCTGGCCCCGCAGGCGCCGGATCTCCATCATGGCCTTGTACCGAAGCCCGTTGGCCTCACAGAACTGGGGTGAGCGGCCAGAGTACTCACAGGCTCCCACGGCACCTGTGGATGAGGGGTGCACTCACTTGCCGCCCTGGCCCAGCCTGCCTGACCGCCACCCCTCTATGCCACACCTGGCACACACCCAGCAGCACCATGATGTCTCCGAGTTTGAGAGAGGCACCTTGCCCTGCCCAGATCCTCTTCATCTGGGCCACCCGGGCCCGCTTGTCCTTTAGCCGGCCCAGCTCCTCATCACTGGCGGCAGGTCTGCAAACACAAACACACACACACCCTGAGCTGCTGCCTGGCCGCCCTCCGGGTGGTGGGGGCAGGGAACACATTAGTTAATCAGGGCAAGCTCAGAGGCTTAGAGGCAGAGAAAATGCCTGGGGGAGCCACTGACTAACACGATTAAGGTTTTAGGCCCATAATTTACCACCAACAGCCTATGAGATTAAAACAGTGCGTGCCTCCTAACCCGACCACTGGACCACTGACCGCCTTTCCACATCTAAAGACTGATACAAAGAATCCAATAAACAACTAACACCTTACACATCTATACTTAAAGGTGACAACAAGAAACCTTTACATCCACCGAGTGTGGCCTGAATGATCTCGTTACTATCATGGTTCCCCAAACCTCAAAGAGCGGACATCTAGGGTAATGTATGCGTCAGGCATGATTTGTAGCCCTTTGCTCGTGTTAACGACTTTCACCCTGACAACTCAGTTATTATTAATTAATATCTCACCCTCATTTTCCGGATGTGAAAGATAAGGAACAGAGATAAAGTCGCCTCCCTGAAGCCACAGTTTGGAAGTGGCGGGAGGAGGATCTGAACCCAGGCAGTGTGGCCCAGAACCTGGGTTCTTAGCCAGTGTACAATCAGTGCTGCTCCAGAAGTGAAGACAGAGCTCTTCAAGGATCAGAACGCTGCTGGGCTTGGGGAGGACCAGCACGTGCACAAAGTCACTCAACACGCCAGCGACCCCACCCCGGAGGTCGGGCTCCCAGTCATCGCTCAGCACAGGCGGCCCCTTGTGGCCTGCGCCGAGCCCCCCAGTGCCCACCTGTCCAGCTCCTCGAACAGCTCCCGGACTGTCATGGCAGCCACAATGGTGATGGCGTAGGGCAGGCAGCCGTGTTGCCTGCTCAGTGCCAGCATCTTGGCGTAGCGGGGCGCCACGGGGAACGTGGCCATGGTCCTGCCCAGTGCAGTGATGGGGCAGCCCAGCCAGGACCTCTGCAGCTGCTTCACGCTGGAGGAAGAGGTGTGCGGTGGGGGCGTCACGGCTACGCGGCCGGCCCTGGTGCTCAGGTGAGCTCAGGAGTGGGAGGGCAGAGCACGGGCTGCGAACTGGGCTGCCTGCTACCCCGCCCCCCACCCTACCCACCTTTCTGTTTTCTGGGGCGCCTGCAGGGCACCCAGCGCAATCAACAGCTCCTCAGCGGCGATGAGGGCCTCCACAGACGGAGGGGTTGGAAAAGGAAAGTTGATGACCTGGGCAGGGGGAGACGTGGCAGGAGGCAGCCATGAATGCAGAGAAGCAAGTATGGGGACCCCAAGGGTCATCCAGGCCAGGCCTGGTGGGAGGATGGCGCTCCTGCACCTGTCCTAAGACCACTCACTCAGAAAGGAGCCCCGGGCACTTTCCTGGTCTGTAAGCCAGGGGAACCCCAAAAGTCCCATTCCTTCATTTATGCACAGAATCCACACACTCAAAAGCAAGACTGAGCACCTAATGTGTGCCGGGGGCTGTTCCTGGCCAACAGAGATCAAGAAAGCCCAAGATGAGGGCTCTGCCTCTGCTGAGCGTGCATGTAACAGGAAGGCCACCCACTCCCAGGGAGACAGCATGGAGCAAACAGGAGGAAATGTGCCTGCACAACAACACGGTGAGGAGACAGAGGGACTGGGCTCAGGAATGGTGGCACCTGAGTAACTGACTGACTCACAAAAAGTGTCTGGTAAGTGTGTATACACCCACGTTCACAGTGGCTCTGCCCCTAATGGCCGGAGGTGGAGACAACACAGGTGGCTACCGACAGAGGAATGACCAGACAGAATGTGGCCTGGCCCCAAGTTGGAGCATTACTTGGCCAGAAAAACGAAGGAAGTACTGAGACATGCCACGAGGGATGTGACCCTTGAAGGAATTTATAGAATAATTCCATTTCTAAGAATGTCGAAAATAGACAAAGCCACAGAGACTTTAGGGTCGGGGAGGAAGGAATGGGAATGACAAGTGATGGGCCCAGGGACTCTCTCTGCTGGTACGCCCCTCCCCATGGAGCAGCAGAAAGCAGGTGACCCCTGGACAGGGGCAAAGTGAGGACACTCTTGTGCCAGGCAGATGACTGTGGCAAAAGAACATTCTGTGAGCCCCAGGAAAACGGCAGCCCTCTGTGCAGTGGGCAGGCCCTCTGGCTGTTCAAGGGGTATAGCCCTGGGAAGTGGGAGGGCCCAGGGCCCAGGGCCAGCACAGCAAGGCTCAGCCCTGGGCTCCCTGCATTTGGAAGCCAGCCCACATGGGGCTGTAGCTGCCGCAACAGAATGGGACACAGAGCAATGGGAGCTCAGGGGGTGCAGGCAGGGCTGGGGCCAGGGTGATGGGGGCTCAGTGGGGTATAGGCAGGGCTGGGGCCACCGCTGACCTTTTCAATGTTGAGTGCTTTCATTTGAAGGATCAAGTCTTCGACTGGCCGCCTGGTGATTTCAGGAGGAGGAAACTGCTCAAAGTCACTGAAAACCGCAGATGAATAGAGCCTGGGCCCGGAGAGGCACCAAGGATAACAGAATTATTTTATGAATAAATAAAAGAGGAACTCAGCCAAGCTACCTGGCACTGGATGTCCACTCAGCCACGGACCCTCCTCCTGCCTTGTTTCCCTCTCTCAAGGACCGGGCTAAGTAGTTGCCCCCTCAGGGCAGGGCAGAGGTCTCAGATGCCATGTGGGGGATGGAGAGCAGCACCTGGCACTCCATCACCAGCAAACTGCAACCATTGTCACTTCTCACTAGTTTTCTTTGCACAATCTCTCACTGTCCTTTTTTCGTAATTTAAAACAATTATCAACAAAACCAGCAATAAACCTATCAAAAATGAGTATAAGGATACAGGTTGGGAGAAATTATTTGCCAATGGCACCTCTGATATGGATCTAATATCCAGATTAGGAAAGAGCTCTTTCGGGATCCCTGGGTGGCGCAGCAGTTTGGCGCCTGCCTTTGGCCCAGGGCCCGATCCTGGAGACCCGGGATCGAATCCCACATCGGGCTCCTGGTGCATGGAGCCTGCTTCTCCCTCTGCCTGTGTCTCTGCCTCTCTCTCTCTCTCTCTCTCTCTCTGTGTGTGACTATCATCAATAATTAAAAAAAAAAAAAAAAGGAAAGAAACTCTTTCAACTCAACAATAAAAAAGAAATAACCCTGTTAAAAAATAAGCAAGAGATCTGAAAAAGAATTTCTCCAAAGAACACAGATGAGTGACCAACAAACACAGGAGAAAATGCTCAGGGTCATTAGCCATCAGGGAAATGCAAACCAGAAGCCCAGGGAGCTGCCATAGCACCCTTCCAGTTAAAAAAAAAAAAAAAAAAGGAAAAGTTAACAGGTATCGTGAAGAATGCAGGAAATTGGAACCTCCTGTGGCTCAGAGTGCCACACAGCAGAGTCATTGCAGTAAACAGTGGCCATGTGACCCAGCAGCCCCTCCCCAAGGACAGACCTGGGAGGTGGAGACATATGTCCAAGAGTGCGGACGGGAAGCAGGGATGTGGGTCTCTTTCGGGGTGACGAGAATGTTGGCAACAGGCTGTGGCAATGCTGTTCTGAGGACACTGAAGACCACAGAACTGCAGGCTTCTAAATGGTGACATTTTTTGTAGATTAATTTCACCTCCATGAAGCCGTCACAAAATAAAATGGAAACAAAGCTGCTTAAGTAAGTATCTACTTTGGGGTCTGAATAAAGAACAGGAGTGTCTGAGAGCCAACGAAGCCCTGCAGAGTACCCCAAGGACCGTCTCCAGCCAACAGCACTCCCTGCAGACAGAGGAGGGGACCCCCTTTCCTTGTTCCTTGCTGGGAAGCTGCACAGTGACCCCAAAGTCACTGGAGAGGCCCAAGGAACTTCACCTGTAGCAGTGGCCTGGCTCTGTCCGGCCTGCTCGGCCCGCCCGCTGATCAGCTGAGGCCTGTGACACCCAGGTGACTCGGAAGGAGGAGACGCCAGTGACACGATCATAGTGCCGCTTCTTGACCTTCCCACAGTCCACCACGTATTTGATGCCCGGGATGGTGAGGGACGTCTCGGCCACATTGGTGGCTACAACACACAGCCGTGTACCCTCTGGGGGAGGTTGGAAGACCTGGGATTGTTGGGGAGGGAAAGAAGCACCAGAATCAGGAATTTGTGGGGACAGACATGGTATAGGGGTGGGGGTGGGGGGCAAAGCCAGGAATTTTCTCATGATCCTAGAGAAGTCAGTTAGGCTGGGGGGTGAGGGGGCCAGAAGGGGCAAAGGTGACAAGCCCTCCCCTTGCCTCGGGCCACAACAACCTGCATAAATGCAAGGAAGTGTTCCTCTCCAGAGATCCCAACACCCTCTCAAAACTGGGGGTGCTGATCAAACTGCTGATGACAAGGACAACCCCGGACTTGCCCTGCCTTTATCCTGCTGCTCTTAGGAGGTGCCCCCACGAGGCAAGGTGGCCCCCGCCCAGCCAAACATCCACCAAGCACCCACCCCAGACCCCACCCTGGTACCTGCGCTTGCTTCTCTGGGGCCAGCAAAGAGTAGAGCGGGAGCACATGGAGGGGGAGCGAGGCATCTGGCTTCTCACCTGCAGGGAAAGCAGAAGCCGGCTGGCACTCCCAAACAACCACGGCGGGAACCCCCCTCAGGCTGTCCAACACCCCCTAACCTGTCCTGCCTGCTGCCAGGGGCCTTTGCCCTTGGGACCAGTACAGTGGGTGAGCACCATCTGGGTCAGAGTCTGAGAGGCTCCTGAAGGCTCTTCACGCCCCACTATCCTGACCCAGGTGGGAAATGCCTGGCACGCTATACAATCTCCTATGCAATCTCCTTCTCAGAGGTCTGGCTGCGAGCCCTACTGCCTGCTGGGTGCCTTTGGGGTGACCCATGCAGCCCTGGACCATCTCTGAACAGGGGGCCCTGGAACTGGGCAACCCTCCCAGCCAGCCCTGAGGCCTGCATTTACCCAGCAAAGCTGAGTGCTCCCATTACAATTAACACTACCAAATATCTGAGGGTCTACTCTGCCAGGCAGTTGCTCAGCAAACAGCAGGCACAAAGTGGCCAGGAAGCCTGGCTTCCTTGAGGCTCGGGACAAAGAAGTCTGGGCCTAACAACAGGGGCTGGCACATAGCAGGCACTCAACAGACACCTGTTGAATGAATGACTGAAGGAGCATGACGGGGGTCCCTGCCCAGGCCACACCTCCATCTGTTCCGTCATCCCCCAAGTCTAGGTCAAGGTCGGAGCCCAGAGCCGCCTCTTCTTCCTCATCCATCTCTGCTTCCCTATCCTCGTCGCCTTCGCCTGCTGGCAACACCGAGTAGCTGTCCAAATTGATCTGAGGCAACATCTATGGCGAACAAGACATGAGAACCATGGATGTGGGCCACAAAGCAGGAAAGACAATCACGTTCAAGCACGAGACCCTGCCTCCCCCTCCTCCTGCAAGCCACATGGCCTTGGGCAGCTCTGGCAACCGTCCTTGTCATAGGGACAACCATAGGACTCATATCACTTGGCCTCAGGGCTGCTGTGAGGACCCAGTCAACACTTGGGAGGCATTTAGAGCATCACCTGGCAGGTCCTAAACACAGCGGGCGCGGGGGGAGGGTGTTAGTGACTTCCAAGTAAGATGCATTACCCACAGATCCACGACATTATGGGGATGCCTGGGGCAGAATGCTCCCCTCTTCGGTTGTCCAGCCAACACCAGGGACCCCGTGCTCTGGTTCTCCCTGCCCTCCCAGAGATGCTCATAGGCCCAGCTCAGGTGTTGAGGGCCGGCCTTCCAGAAGCTTCTTCTTGGCCCATAGGCCCTCCTGCAGCCTCTGGAGCAGCACTATCCAAGGGAACTTCCTTCCATGGTAGGAATGTTCAGGCCCATGCTGCCCAATACAGTCATGAGTAGCCCCAGCTACTGAGCACCTGAAATGTGTCTGATACAACCGAGGAACTGAATTTTACTTTGTTTAAACTGAATTTGCATCTACACAGCTACATAGGGCTGTTGGCCACCATAGACACAAGGGTGTAAGAGCCCCGAGCTTCCCCCTACCCCACAAGCCTCTACACACCGCTGCCTGGGCCTTCTTCACCCTTGTCCTGGATTTCTTAAACTTGCGCATCTCCTCTACTGAATCTTCTTGATCTTCTTTTTCTGCAAGAGAAGCAGAGTCAGGAGGAAGACCTCTTGAGACCAGGCTCAGGCTATGAGGACTCTGTTCTTCACTGTCCACAGTAAGGCTGCTGTAGTGCTGGCCATTCCTTGGGGGGAACTGCAGGGCAGGGACGGGCACCAGGCTCTCCCGTGCGGGGGCTCTGGGGCCAAGGCTGACCACCTGCCACCTCCCAGGGCCAGGTGCTGCCAGGTTACCTGGGGGCCTGCATCTGGTGTGCGGGAAGGCTCTCCTCAGCCTGCGGCACAGTGCATGCACCTCTGCCTGCCCCGTCAGGAACACCAGGATGCCTCCTGCAGAAAGAACGAGACCCCTCACTATCCCTTCATTCATGGGGAAAACATCGACTTAACAACAAGCATCTGTGAAAAGCCAGGAGTGAGGCAGGGCCGGGGACAGCAGGACTGAGAAACCCAGATGAGCAGTGGGCAGCTTCCACCCAGACTGAAGACGTGTGACGGGGAGCTGGACAGACCTCCTGCGTGACCTGGCTGCACGACTCCTGGGAAAGGGGGACACAACCCAAAACCTGCACGCAGACCTCATGGCAACTCTATTCACAACAGCCAAGGGGTGGAAGCAACCCAAGCACCCATCAACTGGTGAAGGATGAACAGGCGGTAGTCTCTCCACACAGCAGAATAGGATGCAGCCATTACCAGGCACAATGTGGCTGCGCCTTGAAAGCGAGGTGTCACGTGAAAGAAGCCAGGCAGAAAGCCCACATGGTACGGGAATCCTTCTGTATGAAACGTCTGGGATAAACAAACGTGTAGAGACAGAAAGTCGAATGGTAGGGCCCAAGGGAGGGTCAGCGTTTAACAGGGACAGACTTCGTGGTGACAAAAATGCTCTGCAGAGGGATGTTGAGGACAGGTCACAGCATGGGTGCGCCCCAGGGGTACTGTGGGTCTTCTTCTGGACCATCCCAATGCAGCGAGCGTCACGATAAAGTGAGTTACACGAAGGCCTGCTTTCCCGGCGTAGGTGAAAGTTACGTTTACGCTGAGCTGTAATCTATTGTGTGCAACAGCATGGTGTCTAAAAAGCAACTCCTCTATCTGAGCTTTCAGCAGGTTGTAATTACTGACCACAGATCACCAAAACATCTATGAAAAAGTTTAAAATACTGTGAGAATTACCGGGACGTGACAGACACATGAAGTGAGTGAGTGCTGCTGGAAAAACGGTACTGACAGACTTGTTTGGCGCAGAGAGATGCCTACAAACCTTCAATTTGTAAAATGAATGCAGTATCCACGAAGGACAATAAAGCCAAGCACAGCAAACGAGGCATGCCTATACCATGAATGTATGAAGGCCACTGAACTACGTGCTTACAAATGGTTAGAGTGGTGAAGCTTGTGTTACGGACATCCCACCATCAGGGAAGAGCCAGAGGCGGGAGGGGAAAGAGGTCCAGCCTTTCTGGTCCCCAGGGCCTCACCTGCTGGCAACATGCGGTGGATCTTGCAGACCTTCCGGAAGCACTCGCCACTGTAGTCTTCTAGTGGGGTCCGCTTGTTGAAGTGCACTGTCACTGGGAACTGCCTGGACTCCACCTGAGACACATGCCCAAGAAGGCACCGAGCTGAGCCTCCCCTTGCCCTGGCCTTTTGGACCTCTGAGCTCTTAGCTCAGTGCGAGCAGCTCCCTAATGCCTCCCTCCCACTCACTCTCAGGTGGGCACACCCCCAGCCCCCAGCCTCCATCAGCAGGCAGGGCCTCCCCAGAGCTTGGCTTCCTCACAACTAGGAGTTCCACTGTCAATCCTAACAGGCCCTGCCTCCCCTGGCCAGCCCAAGGCACTACCTTGATGACTGGGGGCGGCTGGGGGAAGAGCCGCTGGTTCTGCGTGAAATCCTCCACCCGCAGCGTGGCCGACATGATGAGCAGCTTCAACGGCAGGTGCCTCTGTGGGATGACAGACCCGGTGACAGAGGGAAGGACAGTAGCTTCCAAGGTGAGACCCACGATTTCAATGGGTGGAGTGATAAAGGGGTTGTTCATATGGAGAGCCACAGTCCCAGCAATGGTCCAGGGGATCCTCTTCTTGGAGATCATCCCACAGCAGCAGGTGGGTGCGGGCAGAGGGAGCCCAAGCTCTTGATGGGGGGATAGGAGCCCTGGCTGTGGCTCGCAAGGGGTTCCCTGGCTGCTCTCTACAACTTGCCCTACCTTTGCCCGGAGAGACACGATGCGGGACAGGAGGCCAATGAGGATATCTGTGTACACGCTCCTCTCGTGGGCTTCGTCGATGAGCACCACCTTGTATCTAAGCAGCAGGAAATCCTGGGGAGGGGGTAGTGTGGTTAGGTCTGCTGGCCCAGGCCCAAGCCATTCCAAGGTCACCCGCACCCCAAAACTCCCCCTCCAGGAGCCCCTTTCATAGCTGGCATGGATCCTGGAGCACTTGGTCAGGGGGAACCCTGGTCCGTGACCTCAGGCAAGTTACTCATCTCTTCTGGGCCGGTTCTCCACCTGTTAGATGGGGCAATGGGACCCACCTGACAGGGTCACAGTCAGGTTTCCATGACAATTACAATCTGTAAAGTGCATAGCTGAGGGCCTGGGGCTAGGGCCTTGCAGAGAAATTGCTGGAAGAAGGGCAGCTACCATGTATTAGAGCCAAGCTACCAAATCCAGACACCTGTAGAGCAGGGAGGGTAGGCAGGAAACAGAAATGAGGTGGTGGCAGGTGGGACCGAGGGCAATCAGACAGTGTACATCATACAGAAAGGAGCCATACTCAGCCATGTTGGGTGGTCCCAGGTGTCCCTGGCTGGTGTCATGGTAGAGGAGATAGGCATCACATCTGCCCTCCCCAGAGGTCCCTGCCCAGATGGACGTCACACAGCCAGCAAGGAGTGATATGCATGTGACTAATGCACAATGTCTGTGAACCAAACCATAATAACGAGTTCACATTTAAAGAGCACCTGCTAGGTGCCAGGCTAAGGTGCCTTCATGCATCATGAAATTTTTGCTTCAAAACAAATATATGAGTAAAGTACAGGCATGCAGACCAAGAAGTTAAGGCTCAGAGAAGTGAAGTGACTTGCCCAAGGTCACATAGTAGCACCGTGTGCCAGCGGCTGGCAAGCCAACTGCTCACCTCCAGGTGCCATGTGAACTCCCCACCCCATGCTCATCAGCCTTGCTTTGTGACAGAAGATGAGGGACCAACCTTCTGGATTTCTTTCAGCAATACACCATCCGTCATGAACTTGATTCTGGTCTCTTCAGTCACGTTTCCTTCGTATCGGATCTGATAGGAGACGACCCTGCGGAGATAGGCTCCAGCTCAGGCAGGCAAGGACCTGACCTGCTGCAGCCACGAGGCCACACCAAGGCCAGAGCTGAGGCCTGGCCCAGCAGCTCTCCCCACATAGCACAGACAGTGCCCGGCCTGTTCTGTCACCAACGTGACGCAGAGGGGCTGTGGCAGCCCTCCAAAAGATAGATCTACCAAACATGGTAGATTTGGCTGGAGCTTAATTCAAACAACCAACTCTGAAAACCTTTCAGAAAAGAGCATGGACAGGACGACACTGCAGAGTTTCACAAGTTTTAGTTGTGGTAAGGGTGCTAAAATTGCTTTATACGGGTCCCTGGGTGGCGCAGCGGTTTAGCGCCTGCCTTTGGCCCAGGGCGCGATCCTGGAGACCCGGGATCGAATCCCACGTCAGGCTCCCAGTGCATGGAGCCTGCTTCTCCCTCTGCCTATGTCTCTGCCTCTCTCTCTCTCTGTGTGTGACTATCATAAATAAATAAAAATAAAAAAATAAAATAAAATTGCTTTATAGATTCCTTATCTTAAAAAATAAAATATTCTTGATCTCTCAGCCCCACACTGTGGAACCTTGAGGATAAACTTCTCTGAAGCCAGCACTGGCTTCTAAACCCCCAGGGGAGGGGGGCGCAGTTGCATGACTTGACAATCGTTGAAACTTGGTTTTAGGTCCATGGGAGCTCATTCACTAGTCTTTTTTTTTTTTTTTTCAAAGATTTTATTTATTCATGAGAGATACAGAGAGAGAAGCAGAGACACAGGCACGGGGAGAAACAGGCTCCATGCAGGGAGCCCAATGTGGGACTCGATCCCAGACTCCAGGATCATGCCCTGGGCCGAAGGCAGGTGCTAAGCCACTGAGCCACCCAGAGATCCATTCACTAGTCTTTCTACTTTTGTCTGTGCTTAAAATTTCCACAATAAAAAGTTAAAAAGGATGACAAAATACGGCGGTTTTGTACATATTGTTATTTTCAATATATACCATTAAATGCACCAGGAAAGACACAGAATAAACCATTTCTATAACCATTCCTCTCAGAGAGGAATACAGAGAGACACACACAGATGCTTGTCTGTGCCTATGGCTGTCTAGAAGGATCCATGAGAAACACACTGGGGGTCCCTTGCTGCCCCTAACATGCAAACAGAACATGCCTCCTCCACTCACATGCCAGTCCCAGGAGGGGCCAGGTGCACAGCAAGTGATGACCCGCAAACATTCAGTAACAAGACAGATAAAGGAAACTATGTTCTTCTGTGCTATCTCAGTTGCAGACCATACTGGACATGCCACCGCTTGGAAACTAAATACCATAATCTTGCCTGGGGCCCAGACACATGCATTACAAACACAGCCCCAAGCCATTCTCAAGCAGGTGCTGTACTTGCTCTGCTGTGCTCCAAAGTAAGTCCCGCAGCCTGAATGCCAGCAGAGGATCTGCACTCAGGGACCTTGCCTAAGCTACCTTGCCAATGCCGAGCAATGCCTGCCTGCATCTGGCTGCCTGCTGCCCTGCTCTGCCCCTAGGTCCCTGTATGGGTCACGGTCCCCTAGTGCACTGTGCAAGAAGTGAGCCCAAGCGCCCAGCTGCCTTGCCTTGCTCTGTGGCCCCCTCCCCAGGATGGTCCTGTTGTCCAGAGTGTGGGAAGCCCTCTTGCATGGTGCAGAAGCAACACTCCCACCAAGCACCCTTGGAACAGACAGGGCCCAAAGGATGCTCAGCACGTGCCAGACAGCTAGCCCCTGGGCAAGGCCAGAGGACCACCCTCACCCCTCCTCCAGGAGGCAGAGCCCTCACCGCTGTGACAGATTCATCTCCTTGGCCACTCGCTGGGACATGGCCACAGCAGCGACTCGCCGGGGCTCTGTGATGCCGATGATGCTGTTGTCACTGGGGGAGGGAGAACACAACACATAAGCAGTACTTGGCCCCACTTGTCCATCCCACAGTTACATGTGGTTCCATGTCAGGATCCAAGGGTGATGGAACATGCGCCAGGCAAGGAGCCCCTAAACAGCAAAAGGGAATGACCTGTGGGTGCACAGAGACACTTTGGGGTCACAGCCTACCAGGAAAGACACAGGCAGAAACTAGGCAGCTGCTGACAGAAGGGGACCCGGGTGGACTTCGCCCACAGCCAGCCAAGCACAGGCCCGATTCTAGGCTGTGCAAAAAACAGTTAACATAGCAGGCCTGGGGCTGCTCTCCTTAGAAAGGTTTGCTTGCTGGGTTGGTGGCGGCTGGCATCTGGGATCTGAATTTGGGAGGGTTCCTGGTCATGTGCCTGGACCGTCTGTATAGTGTGGCTGATGCTGACCACCTGCTTCCCTTCTGGGCACCTGGGACTAGGGCAGGTCCTAGGGAGAGGGTGCCTAGCTGACCTCAATGGACACATTGGGAGTTCCGTCTCTACTGGGCTTCCCTGGTGACAACACTTTACTCGGTTGTCACAACGTGCTGCTTCCATGTGACTCTCCCAGGAGAGGGCTCTGGAAGCCTGTGATTGATTCTCCCAGACTTCACCCCACGCACTTCTCCCCTCTGCTAGTTGTGTTCTGTGCTTTTTGTTCTAATAAGTCACACTTGTGTACAACTACATGCTGAGTCCCATGAACCTTCCTGGCAGATCGATGTACCTGGGGTGGTCCCCAAGATGCACACAGGTCAACAGGAAGGGACATTAGTTAATGCATCACCCCACATGCCAGGGACTGATCTAATACGCATTTTACACAAATTTCCTCATTCACCTACATAACACATGAAGTAGGTGCAAAGGCTATCCTTATCTCACAGCTGAGGAAACTGAGGCCAAGAGAGGTTAAGCAACTTGCTCAAAGCCACACAGGATATGAACAGCATATGATCCCAGCAATAGATCCCTGGGAGCTCATGTTAGGGGATCGCATCTTCACCATCACCCAAGGGACCTGCAGAGGACCCTGTGGCCAGCCCCCACCTGCTGTAGCCTGCTTCGTAGAGAAACTGCGGCACCTGTGTGGTCTTCCCACTGCCAGTCTCACCACACACAATGACGATGGGGTGCTCGGCCACCGCCTCCATGATCACTTGTTCTTCAGCGAGAATTGGGAGCTTTAGCCGTTCTTCCTGGCAAAAGAGATGGAGTCAGTGCTCAGGCAATTGGGGGCGGGGGTGCGGGTGGGGGAGTCCCTTGCAAAATGGCAGAGGGGATCAGCGAAGACTGTTAAGGGTGACATGGTTGTCTGTAGAGGCTCCAGTGGGCATGTGGATGCCATGAGCCTTCCCAGCAAATCAATGAAGCCCTGCCAGCTAAGGACAGGGACAGAGACCCATAGCCCACAGGAGAGAGACATAGGCAGGGTCCTTCAGTGTCAGGGTAGATATCCTTGGGACAGCTTGGCTGGTGCAGAGGAGTCTCAGCTTTTTTTTTTTAAGATTTTATTTAATCACCAGAGACACACAGAGAGAGAGAGAGGGACAGAGACATAGGCAGAGGGAGAAGCAGGCTCCATTCAGAAAGCCTGACACGGGACTCAATCCTGGGTCTCCGGGATCACGTCTTAGGCTGAAGGTGACGGCTAAACCGCTGAGCCACCCAGGCTGCCCAGAGTCTCAGCTACTGCAGAGAGTGACGTGGATGGGGTTTATATTTATATATGATCACTCCAGTAAATAACCTGGCATAATTTTATACAAGTCGAGGATGTGCAACCGCAACCCAGCAATTCTTCTCCTAGACACATACTCTGGAACAGTGACTTTCTTTTTTTTAAGATTTTATTTATTTATTTATTTGAGACAGAATGCATGAGCCGGTGCACACGCATGGGTGGGAGAGGGAGAGGAATAAGCAGACTCCCTGCTGAGTGCGGAGCAGGTTGCAGGGCTTGATCCCACAACCCTGGGATCATGACCTAAGCCGAAAGCAAGAATCGGATGCTTAACCAACTGAGCCATCCAGGCGCCCCCAGAGCAGTGACTTTCTAAGGCTTTTTCCTACAACCCACACATAGAGCACTCAGTACATACATGTGCACACATGCCACGCACATACAGTTGACCCTTGAAAGACACAACTTGGGTTTAAAATGTATGGGATAAATAAACAAATAGATAGATAGATAGATAAATAAAGAAATAAATAAATAAATAAATAAGAAAGAAAGAAAGAAAGAAAGAAAGAAAGGGAAAGAAAGAAAAGAAAGAAAGAAAGAAAGAAAGAAAGAAAGAAAGAAAGAAAGAAAGAAAGAAAGAAATTAAATAAACTGTATGGGACTACTTCCATATATGTGGAATTTTTTCTATAAATATAGAACTAGGGGCACCTGGCTGGCTCAGTCAGTAGAGCATCTGACACTTGATCTCATGGGTTTGAGCCCCACAATCGGCATAGAGATTACTATAAAAAAAAAAGTATAAAACTATAAATGTATTTTCTTCTCCTTATGACTTCTTCTTTTTTTTTTTTTAAGATTTTATTTATCTATTCAGGAGACACAGAGAGAGGCAGAGACACAGGCAGAGGGAGAAGCAGGCTCCCTGCAAGAAGCCTGATGCGGGATTCGATCCCAGACCCCAGGATCACACCCTGAGCCCAAGGCAGATGCCCAACTGCTGAGCCACCCAGGCGTCTCTCCTTATGACTTCCTTGATAACATCTTCTTTTCTCTAGCATTATTGTAAAAATATGGTATATAATACACAAAACATACAAAATATGCATCAATTGACTGTTTCTTGTTATTGATAAGGCTTCCGGTTAACAGTAGGCTATTTGTAGTTAACTTGGGGAGTCAAAAGTTACATGTGAGTTTCTGACTGCATGGGGAGTCAGTGCCCCAACCCCTGTGCTGTTCAAGGGTTAACTGTATTATATTGTGGAGAGGTGTTTTCTTTTAAGATTTTATTTATTTATTCATAGACACAGAGAGAGAGAGGCAGAGACACAGGCAGAGGGAGAAGCAGGCTCCATGCAGGGAGCCCGATGTGGGACTCGATCCCAGGTCCCCAGGATCACACCCCAGGCTGCAGGCGGCGCCAAACCACTGTGCCACCGGGTCTGCCTCTGGAGAGGTTTTATGAACCACTGCTCACCTTCATCATGGGGAAGCAAGCTAACGGGCTCATCTAAAACATTCTATTCTGGGTGGCTCAGCAGTTTAGTGCCTGCCTATGGCCCAGGGCATGATCCTGGAGTCCTGGGATTGAGTCCCACATCGGGCTCCCTGCATGGAACCTACTTCTCCCTCTGCCTCTCTGTGTGTCTCTCATGAATAAATAATAAAAAAAAAGATTCTCTCTCTCCATCTCCCTCACCACTGCTTGAACACTCTCAATAAAAGTCAGCTGCCCTAACTATATATAAACACATAATTATACATGTAACAGAAACCACGGTTTCAGTAAGTAGTACTTATTTTTACCTAGAACACTGCACTGATATTTTCTTTTGTCTTCCCATTAAAAAACAAAAAGGAGCTGGTCACATCCCAGTGGTTTTACAACACAATCTGTGTTCTGGAACAGCCCCTCTGGGACCCAGCCCACTCCCTGGCTCCTGCAGGTCTCCTAGCTCCTGCCCTAGACGCCTTCCCAGACCCTCCTGCTATCTCCCCTCATGGCCCCGACACGGCTTTTGTCACCCTTCCCAAGTGTGGGGACCATGTCAGCATCCTCTGCTGGGCTGACAGCTGGAGGCTGCAGATCACACTCCCCATGCCAGGCCCATGGCACACGCTTGGGCACGGAGATGGAGGCCCCCACCACCCCCAGTTCTGCAGGTGAAGAGAGGGAAGCCCAGGAGTGGGCTAGAAAGTGGTGGAAAGCTGAGTGGCCAGCTGGGCCAGGACCCACAATCAGAGGCCAAGGGTGATGGTGACCAGGTGAGGATAGGAGCAACAGACACCCATCTCAGCAGCTCTTTGTGCTGGGAATGCTGTGTGCAGACTCCTGCACGTCTGTCCCTACAACCCTATCAGGTAGGGACAGCTGTTCCCACTACAGGTGAGGGCGCTGGAGAGCAAGTGAGGCAGCCTGCTCAAGCCACAGGGATGTCCCCGCTCCATATCCCCAGCTCCTCACTGTGTTAGCCTGTGCGCTTATCACAGACACCAGAGCAGCAAACCTGCATCTCAGGGGTGCGGTTCACAGGGATGAAGACAGCAGGCTTCACTGGGGGCCTGGCTGGGGTGGAGGCTGCTGCTGGTGGTGCTGAAGTAGTCCCGGCCAGAGAGGGTTGGCTACTGGGTCCTGGGCTATCAGTCCTGGCCTCTGGTGCAGGTGGCAGTGTCCGTGCTCCAGCCTCTGTGGGCTCAGTGGCAGGAGCCTCCTCGGGTTCAGACTCCATTGAGGGCTCAGACTCCTCCTCTTCTGTCTCCTGGCGATAGCGCTTCCGGTGGGCCCCGCTGAGGCTGCTGATCTTCTCCTGCCTCTGGGCTTCGATCTTGTCAGACTTCCTGCAAGGACAGCCAGAAGTTAGGCACAAAAGCCTTACCGTGGCCCTGTCAACCTGACACAGCTCTGTGCCGCTATATATCCATCAGAAGCGAGGAGTCAAAGTATACCCTTTCCCACCTAAGGACTTTTGCACTTGCTGTTCCTGCTCCAGGCACGTACGTTCTCCCTCACTGGACTCAACTGTCATCCAACAGGGTGACTCTCCTATCTCCCCCCCACCTTTTTTCCCTATTTTCTTTTCTGCTAGTGCTTGTCAGCACTAGATATATATGTATTCACTTGATTCTTGTCTGTCTTCCCACCATTAAAACATAAACTTCTTGGGATGCCTGGGTGGCTCAGTACTTGAGCACCTGCTTTAGGCTCAGCATGTGATCCTGGAGTCCCAGGATCAAGTCCCACATGGGGCTCCCTGTGAGGAGCCAGCCTGCTTCTCCCTCTGCCTATGTCTCTGCCTCTCTCTCTCTGTGTCTCTCATGAATTTAAAAAAAAAAAAAAAATCTTAAAAAAAAAAAATCTTAAAAAAAAAAAAAAAGAAGCAAACTTCTTAAGGGAAGTTTATTTATCATCTTATTTTTGTACACCCCTCTACCCCCAGGGCCTAGAGGAGAGCCTAGGACATAAGTGTGCCCTCATACTAGCCATAAATGTGCAATGTTCAAGGGTGCAGGTCAAGAGTAAGACAGTAGTGCGTGGTGGCTCTAGGGTAGGAGGGGCATGTAGGCTCCTCCTAAGGGTCGGCCACCCCGAGGGAAGCCAGGAAGAAGCCAGCTGATATGGCTTAAGACGACTTTAATGTGACATTTCCTACTTGTTGAAAGTGGGTTGTATTGGGCTGAACAGTGTCTCTCCAGAATTCATGTCCAGAGACTCAGAATGTGACCTTTTGGAGATTGGGTTTTAGCAGATGTAATTAAGACAAAATGAGGACGACCTGGATCAGGGTGGGCCCTAAATCCAATGCCTGGTATCTACACAATGAGAGAAGAGACACAGAAGACCACGGAAGACATGAAGACATGCCGGGAGCCGTGCCAACTTCAGTGTCCTCATGTCTGCCAGGAAGGAACACCCAGTACTGCTAGAAACCACAGAAGCTGGGAGAGATGCAAGGAACAGATTTCCAGCTCCTAGAAGGGACCGACTCTGCTGACATCCTGATGGCCAGAACCACCAGAGAATACATGTCCCTTGTATTAAGGCACCCAGGTTGTGGTATTTTGTTACAGCTGCCCTGGGAGAGTCTGAATGAATACATCAGCAGAACACCCAAAGGCCTTCATGACACAATATAAACGAAACAAAACTTGCTGATAAGCCAAACCTCATCCCTGACCACCTGAAAGCAATTTCTACCCTAATGGCATGTGTCAAAGCTGGAAGAATCTGTGTGCAGGACTCTGCGTTGCAGGAAACCCTGCAGTCTGGTGTGTGTCATTGGGGTTTGGGCAGCATCATGGCCTCTACTCGCTGCAGGTGCGCTGGCATGAGGGTCAATGTGAATGTTCCTGTAAATATTCAAGCCTTCTGGGAGGCTGTGAGTCCCCACCCCTGGCATGAGAGGGGGACTTCAGGAAGGGGCTGGCCCACTCACTCTCGGGTGTGGTACATGCGGTCCCCAGTGCCAAGCTTGGACGTGGTGTAAAACAGTCTCATCTCGGCTTCAGAAACCTGGACTTCGCTCAATTTCTGTAGCATCTCTGCTCGCTGGGGAAGGAAACAGGTGTGTTACACATGTGGAGGGACAACCTTCTCTTCAGAAAGGAAATAAGACTCTACATCAGATGTCGGCCTCGCTAACGATTAAGTCTAACCTAAAGGTCACAGTACAATTGCTGCATGGAGGTCTTGTGTCACCGTGAGCCAGAATGGCTTTCCACCCCTGGACGGGGTCTGGTGCCAGATGAACCAAGCTGTCTTGGCATCACTGTGTGTCACGAGGTATTATCCACTATCCAGATGCCCCCCCCTCAAGGGAGACCAAACAAAGGAGGGCCTGTGTGTGCAATGCAGCACTCCCCAGCTATCTCACAGGGAAGGGAGGCTCTTGGGTGTCAGCAGCAAGTGGTCCCCATGCTGCTTTCAAGAAAGCAGCCTGTGGGGGCAGGGACAGTTGGCCTCTTTCCCCTGGAGAGCCACTCAGGAGTTTTAGTACTCTTGAAATCATATAGATGCATTTTAATATGTGCTTCTATGTATTTTGCAATCAATAAAAGGAAAAACCATGTACAAAGAAGTGAGAAAAAACACAGCACAGATTTTTAAAAGGGGGCACCCTTGCGGGAAAGTGAGTCCCCCCGTGCTAAGGGGCTCCAGGGCCTGAGTCTCAGGGCTGCGAACAGGGGACCCTGTATGGTGACCTGGACAGAAAGGCAAATGTGAATCCCAGGAAGCCTCCAGATTGGGCTTTCTCGGTCTCTGCGCTGCAAGCATCATGGGCCAGAGAACATTTTGCTGTTTTGTGTGCTACAGACCACCTGGCAGTGCCTCAAGCCTCCAGCCTCCCACCAGGTATCTCCAGACAAGGCCAGAGGTTCTCCCGGGGCAAAACTGTCCAGGTTGAGCATCCCTGCTCCAGAGGCAAATACCATTTCCAGGAAATTCGGAAGGGCAGAGAGGTGTGTTTAACTGTACCACAGAGAGGATGTTTTATTATTTTTATTTTTTTTAAAGATTTTATTTATTTATTCATGAGAGACACAGAGAGGCAGAGACATAGGCAGAGGGAGATGCAGGCTCCTCGTGGGGAGCCCGATGCGGAACTTGATTCCAGGACAACGGGATCAAGCCCTGACCCAAAGGCAGACACTCAACCACTGAGCCACCCAGGCTTCTTGGAGAGGATGTTTTAAAACTGCAGACTGTGGGAAGCACTACAGACAACCAACCTAATTTCTTTCAACAAATAAATGACAAGGGGAGAAAAAAAAGAAAAGAGGTGGGGTAGGGAAACATGAAACATTTGGAAATTTGACCTTTACTGGATATTTGATTTTTTTAAAAAAAATTTAAGTGTGCTAATGGTCCTGTGGTTATTTTAAATGGTGCTTAAGATATAATTGGAAATATATATGGATAAAATGTTACGCACAGGGGGTTGAATGGTCTCCCCTCCCCCAGAGATATGCTCATGGCCCAGAATGGGATCTTATTCGGAACAAGGGTCTCTTCAGATGTAATTAAGTTAAATATCTTAACATGAGATCCTGCATTATTCAAGTGGGTCCTAAATCCAAGACAAGTCTCCTTGTAAGACACATAGAGAGGGGACAGCCATGTGAAGACAGGGGCCAAGATAGGAGGGACGTGGCCACAGGCCAAGAACACTTGGGGCCACCCCGAGCTGGATGTCAGGAAGAGCTTTCCCAGGGAGCAGGGCCCTGCCAACACCCTGATTTCAGACTCCTGGCCTCCAGAACTGGAATAGAATATATCTCTTGTAAGCCATTCAGTTTGTTTCAGTAATCCCAGGACACAAATACAGATTTATGCTACCTAGGGTTTGACCCGGGAGGTAGGGAAGTGGCCAGCTGTGGAGATGACTGGGGAAACGTGGGCTGACAGCTACTGGCACTGGTGACAGGTACATGGGAGTCTGGTACACTAGGTTCTCTACTTCTATAGGTGTTGGAATTTCCCATTACAAAATTTGTTCCTTAAGAAAGTATGAAGGAAGGGACGCCTAGGTGGCTTAGTGGTTGAGCATCTGCATCAGCTCAGGTTGCAATCCCGGGGTACTGGGATCGAATCCCGAATTGGGCAACCTGCAGGGAGCCTGCATCTCCCTCTGCCTATGTCTCTGCCTCTCTCCCTCTCTCCCCACCCCCCCCAGGGTATCTCATGAATAAATAAATAAAATAGCTTTTAAAAAAAGTTTGAAGGGAGAAGGTCTGAAATTCTCCAGAATAAAGTTAAAAAAAAAAAAAAGTAACACAAAATGATTAGGACCAAATAAGGAAAGATGAGCATGTTGAGGGACTGACTTCCTAGCTAACAAACATCTAGCCTCAACAAATCTGGGCTCATTGGAGATTCGTGGGCAGGCTCCTGGAGGGTCTGAAGGCTCTGGGGCTGCATCAGATATCAGAGCTGCTGCTAGCCACAGTAGGCCAGACGAATTTAAATTAATTACAATTAAATCACACAAAAAATTAGGTTCCTCAACCATGCTAGCCACACATGCCTAGTGACTACTGTATGGAATTGTGCAGACACAAAACATGCCCCTCATTCTGGAGAGTTTGACTGCACTGTCACGCAGCAGAGACCAAGTCGGGGGACAGAGAACCCACCTCTCCCCAGTCTAGGGAGCCATGTGCAGATCCTGACAGAACAGGCCTACCTGGCTCTTTTTCTCCTTCTGGTCTAAGATTTTCTGCAGCATTTTACGCTCTTTCTTGGTCAGAGGCTTCTTCTCCTTTTTCGATGGGGGAGGGGCTTTGGGCTTCTTTTTCTTCTTCCCAGGCAAAACCAGTGCATTGCTTGCATCGATGCCTTTCAAAGCGTCTTTATCTGAAAAGACACACTTGCGTGGACCCCCTTGCCCCCTGCCCAGGGACCAGAGACCGCAGAGACTTGCAGTACCCCAGAGTCCACAATAATTCCATGTTTCTTTGGGGTGGCTCTGTGCTACCTCTCATGGGACCCTCACCCTATGTGTGAGCCCAAGTGCCCACACAGGTATGGGGGTGCAGGCCTGTCACTGTTCCTTCAACTTGTCTGCCCAGCATCCGCCATGTGTCAGATTCCACTGTGAGCCCAGGGCACCTCCATCCTAGTGGTCAGGGGAGAAGGAGCGGGGTGCCAGTGGGGAAGGTTCAGGACACAACACCGCTCCCCTCAGAATGTGTGAGGTCAAGACTGTTTTCATAATACTACTACAACATTCTCCTAAGACTGCACAGGACACTCAGTACTGGGTTTGTGCCGTATCTACTTGCAAATGTCAGTCTGAAAGTACACAATCTGGACCCAAATTCAGGTACCATATTACTCTTCAACTCAACTTGAGGCAGCCCCACGGGGTGCACCTGTTCTGCCTGACATCTAAGGCTGCAGCCCTCTCCAGGGTTCCGTGTGGGCAGCTACTAGCTTACTAGGTCCTCTGGCTCAGTCCATCTTTCATTGTGTCACAAAGTGTAGGAGAGGCTTTGAGACCCTCAACTAAAACGAACACGACAATTTTAAGCAATGCAAGCTATGCATTCTGCAGTTCTCAAATAAAACAATTAAAAGCACAAAGAAAAACAAAGGAAATGAGCTTATAGCAGCATTTTCCAGAGGTTTCAGATCAGGTGACACATTGTTCTGACAGCTAATGGAGCATGTCCTTGTATACACTGGTTTTGATAGATTTAACCCACATCAACGAAAGAACTTTTGGATCTTCATTTTTTAAGCATGTAAATGGGTCCTCAGTCCAAAAAATGTGAGAACTACCGTGCTATAGGAAAAAAAGGGGGGGGGGACGTAATAAAAAACAGGAAGTGAGGGGTAATATTGAGTCAGTGGTCGAAGGAAGGCTCTTTAAAGAAGGTGATGTGGTCTATGTTTTTAGAAGACTCCTCTGGCCCCCTCAGAAAGGAGGGGATAAATGGACATCCTGGGTCAGAAAGAACTTTCCTAATCTTTGGGTCCAAGAGATCTCAGGCCCCCCTGTTCTGATCACCTCTTCCAAAATTCTGATAGCAGGTAGGATGGCTACTCAGACTGGACCCATTTTACAGGAGAGAAAACTGAGGCAGAGATGTCAGGTGATGTGGTTCATCCCCAGCCTATCCGTGCAACCTCCAAGGAAGGAATTCAGTCCAGATTCCCACTCTGGCATTGTCTCCAATCACCTCACTGCCTGCCAGGCCCAACAAGAACGTGCACTAGAAGGCTAGTCAGTGGGTCGAGGGAAGCAGGCTTTTCTAGAGGCCCTGCTTCCTCTCTGCCCATCTCAGAGTCTAGGTCCACTGTTTCCTCACGCCCACCTCAACCTGGATCTCAGGGAGCAAGTGCACTCAGCTCGGGGAGTCTGACTCTGCAATGTGTTCCGTTTCAGGAGCCTGCAAGACAACTCTGAACCTCAGTCACCTCACCTCACCTCTCCTGCACAACTGGCCTCACGCAGGTCGTCAGCCTTCCTGGATACACTCAGTGGTCTTTCCCTCCCTGACGTCACGGCAACATCCCACTCCCACGGGGATGGCGGGTCCTCCTCCATGGCACCCACAACGACACTCTCCCAGAGCTCCTCTCTCCTCACAGGCTCCTCCTCCCTTCCTTCTCCTCAAGAGCTGGACTCATTCCCTCAGTGAGCTAATCCACTCTGGACTTTAAATGAACAAATATACCATCTACTCCCAGATGATTCCAAAGTGCTATCTCCCCCAGGACCAGCCTCTCTTCAGCATCCAAGCCAGCAGCTGCGTGCCTACCCTGTCCACCTGGTGACTAAACAGGACCTCCGGAGATCACTCATATCCCAAACCGGGCTCTTGGTCTCCCAGGCTGCCCACTCATCTTCTCCAATGGCTGGGTCCAGCGCCTGGGAGTCATTTTCAACATCTTCGTTCCCCGTGCAATCAGCTGGCAAATCCCATCAGCTCCACCTTCAAAATACTCTGAATGCAACCGCCTCACCTGTTCCATTGCTGCGTTCCCTGGTTGGATGTACTGAAGCTTCCTAGCCCAGCACCCTGGTTCTACTCCACCTTCTCCTGCTGGTCCTCAATGCAGCAGCAATGTGATGCTATCACAACAGGAGCCCATTCGGTGTCCCTCTGGTGCTCTAACCCTGACCGGGCCAGTCACCATCAGGACCCTACAGAGCCCACCCCCGTGGCTTGCTTGCACTCCACTCGGCCCCTCGGCTGCCTTCAGGCCTTGACTCAACACTTTCTCAGTGGGACCCTGCAACCCACCCAAACACCTCCTCTGCTGGATCTTTTTGGTTTATAAGCCACACAACAACCTACACGCTTTACGTGTTTAACTTTGCCTGTCTCCTCCCACGAGCATCTAATAAGCTCGGCAGGGCACCGATTTTTTTTTTTTTTTTTAAATCTCCTCTTCTGTTACGTCTCCTACAATAAACCCCGGCACACAGTGGGCGCCCCTACTACCGAGGAGTCTCAGCAGAAATGTCTGGGCTAAACATGCATGTTCCGGGGGATCGCCGGCAAGGAGGTTGTAACGGAAGCCCGAGAAGTCGAGGCGCTTCCTTGATTCTCTTGCCCACACTCCGCATGGTACTAAGCCTGGCTCGGGGCGCCTGGCTGAGAGCGAGCGACTCCTGAATCTCAAGGTCCACAGTTGGAGCCCCACGTCGGGCGTGGAGGGGATTGCAACAAAACAAACAAAAAGGCCGGGCTTCTTAGGGGAGAAAGCCTCGGGACTGTCCCAAGTTCACCGTTAAAACCAGGCGGTCACTGCCGCCACCTCCTTGGACCACCTGAGGGGGGATCTTCCCGGGCCCCGCCCCAGGGCCGCGGACGCAGGGCGCACCCCAGCCCCGGACGCCTTACCCTCCAGCTCCAGCCGCACGGGGGGCGGCTCCGCGGGGCGCTTCGAGGGCCCGGGGGTCGCCTGCAGGCGCCCCTTGACGTTGTAGCGCCGGCGCAGCTTCCCCATGGCGCCTGGTCCCGCCCGGCTCCCGGCGGGATGGCCGCAGCCGCGAACCCCGAAGCCTAGTCCACGTGCGCGCCCAGGCCCCAGGCTCAGGCCGCGAGACTTCCGGGCTGCGCTCTCGCGAGAGCTCACCATACCGGCGCCTTGGGGGCGGGGCGGGGGCGGGGCCTGCGGAAGGACGGGGCGGGGCCAACTTCGAGACGGGAGCGAGGCCTGAGGTCGCTGGGGAGGCCGGGTCTTAAGCTGAGTGCTTCCCACGTGGTGCGAATCTCTAAATCGGAGTCAGGTGCTGGTGCTAATACTAATTTGGTTACCTGGGAGTGGGACTGTTTTGCACCTTTTGAAATATAACGCTGCCCCCGTTGCAAACGTCTCCCCTCGTTTTTTGTTTTTTTTTTTTTTGCTCTTTTGCACTTTGATATCCCTAGAAGAGACACTTCGTTGTATAGTAAAAGGGCACAAATGTTTCCATTACAGGGACAGAGGCACTAAAAGAAGAAAGTATTAGGCGGCTTTAAACTCTCATTTCCGCATCACACTGTAGCGCACTCGAAAATAAAGTATTCTCTGAGTCCTGTAATTATCTTGCATATACAACGTTTTATATTAGCAGAATATTTTTTCCTGTTAAAAGCATTAGTTTGTTAAGGGCAGACATTTAAAATAAAACAAACAAAAAAGACAAAAGAAAAGGTGAAGACATTATATGGATTTATTTTAGAATTTTAGAAAGAAACCTAGAACAAGATCTGGCTGCAGAGTAGGTAAATAGTAGTTATTGAATACAGGAGCGAATGGATGAATGGAGGTGATTGCATAAGTTTTCCCTTCCCCCCCCCAAAACAAAAGCAAAAACAAATCTCCACAAACACACAGATGGTGCATGAGAGGATTTATGTATGAATAGGTTTATAAAGTTATGATTTAAATGGATTTTGGAGGTCGGGGAAGCCTAATTACCATATCAAACCTCTGGTTTTATGGGTTTTATAGTTTAGGAGGATAATAGTCTGCAGTTTTCCCCTTAAATATGTTTAAGTAAATAAAAAGTGTGTCCATTTTAAAATTAAGTAGGTAATAGTACATTCTCCTATATTTTCTTCTAAAATATCATATACCAAAGGACTATCTCCAGAAAATATAAAAAATGTTATTTTAAATAATAATAAAAGAAGATAAAAAAATAATAATAAAAGAAGAAAAATTCATATACAGACCATGGCTCTCATAAATGTGTTGAAAAAAAGAAACCAATCACAAAAGAGCATACTGTGTGATTCCATACACATCAAGTTCAAAAACAGGCAAAATGAATTCCCTAAATTTTGAAGGGTAGCTAGTGAGTGGGAGAGGAAGCTGGTAACGTTCCATTTCTCCATCTGGGTGCTGATTACCTCATGTGTGGTTAGTTTAAATTCATTAAAAAAAAAAAAGCACCTTATGATTTGGGTATTTTTCTGTGTGTACGCTATACTTTAATAAAAAAGTTTTCTTAAAAAACAAGAACTTTAGGGATCCCTGGGTGGCGCAGCGGTTTGGCGCCTGCCTTTGGCCCACGGCGCGATCCTGGAGACCCAGGATCGAATCCCACATCGGGCTCCCGGTGCATGGAGCCTGCTTCTCCCTCTGCCTGTGTCTCTGCCTCTCTCTCTCTCTCTCTCTCTCTGTGTGTGTGACTATCATAAATAAATAAAAATTAAAAAAAAAAAAACAAGAACTTTAGAATTCGTGGCCAGTAAATACATGAAAACTTCACCAGGAATCCAGATAAAGTCCAAATTCAAAAGTAAAATACAACGTCTCACTCTTTGGATTGGCAGAGGTTAAGTCTTATTTTGCTGCCTGTCTCAAAAAAGAAAAGAAAAAAAAGTCCGGTTGGACACAGTTTGCTTCAGGGCCTTCTGTTGCGTTTGGTTACTGATGGCTCTTCACTGTCTTAAAATCAATCATCCTCCTTCACTTTTTATACCGTTTACTGACTGAAGAGACTGGGTGGTTTGCACTGTAGAATGCTCCACAGTCGGGATTTGACTGATGGGCTTCTCATTTTCTCCTCCCTCCCCCATAGTTCCTGTAAATCGTTGGTTCCAGGTAGGGGCCAGGTCGGGCGAGGGTTCAGAGTGTTTTGGCAAAAATCCATCCTCCGTGGCCCAGGTACTTCCTGCCGCCAGGGAGCTTCCAGGTCAGGATAGACTGGCCTCTCCATTTTCAAGGTCCCCACCTGCCAGTCCCCTTCTTGGTTTCACCCTCTTGCTGACTGGAACTGCACCCATCATTTCACTAAGGGGTGCAAAATGATTTTCTGACTCTTTCTTGCGCCCTCCTGGTCTACCAGCTGAACTTGGCTTCAGAAAACTCTCGCTTCTCACCTGTTGTGTGATGGAAGGAAGGAGGGCAGGAAGGAGGGATGCTCGCGGTTTCTTTACTTCGAAATTCCAGAATGGGCTGGTGCCCTGGCCTTCGCCTCGCCGATGGTGGCCAAGGATTGGGGGGATCGTGATAAACTCGGTGACATGTTTGGATCTAGGTTCTCCGATCCATAGCGGGCGTTATCCTTGCTGAGGCCGTTGCAAGTTTTACGGGCACCGGCTGCTCTTTACGGAAAAGTTAAAAAAAATATATATATATATTTTTGTTTTGTTTTGAACGGTGCAAGCCCCCGGACTCGGCTCCGCGGGGCGGGGAGGTCGCCGGGGTCGCCGGCCGGGACCCCGCGTCCGGGGGCGGGGCGAGGCGTGGGCAGGGCCGTCGCCGCTCTGCGCGCGGGGCGGGGCAGGTGGCGCTGCGACAGCGGCGGCGGCGGCGGCGGCGGCGGGCAGAGGCGCGGCGCGCGGCCCCCGAGCGCGCCAACGCGGTCCCCGCCGAGCCGCCGCGTCCCGGGTGCGGCCCTCAGCCCCGCTCCGCCACCGCATCCCGCCGGCCCCAGGATGGGCGCGCGCGCCTCGGGCGGGCCCCGGGCCCGGGCCCGGCTCCCGCGGCCGCCGCCGCCGCTGCCGCTGCTGCTGCTGCTGCTGCTCGGGCTGCTGGCTCCGGGCGCGCAGGGGGCGCGGGGCCGCGGCGGCGCCGAGAAGAACAGCTACCGCCGCACGGTCAACACCTTCTCGCAGAGCGTCAGCAGCCTGTTCGGCGAGGACAACGTGCGCGCCGCTCAGAAGGTGGGCTCCGGGCTCGAGCCTGCGGTCACCTTGCCCCGGCCGCCGCGCACCTGGCGCCGGGCGGCGGGGCGGGCCTGTGCGGGGCGCGGCCTCCGGGGCGGCGGGGAGGGGGGAGGCCGGCCTGCGCCCCCGGGGCTGCCGCGTGCCCCGCACCCCTCCACCCCCCACGCCCACCCCCACCCCCACGCCCACGCCCACGCCCGGCCGGGGTCGGGACTGGCGGCCGGGGCCGGCGCGCGGCGGGGGCGCGTGGCCCGGGGCGCCCTCTGCTCGGCGCCCGGCGCTTCTCCTCGGACCTTGCCCCCTGGCTCCGCGTGGCGGGGGAGGCCCCCTGGGCTACGCTGACGGCGGCCGCGCCTCTCCATTCATTCATTCATTCATTCATTCATTCATTCATTCACTCAGCGCGTTTGAATGGACACCTACTGTGAGCCAGGCGGCGCGCGGGTTGCCCAGGGGGCGCCCTGCGCTCTCCCCAGCAGCCCCGCTAGCCTCGCGCCGACCCACTTCCCCGGAGCACCTTAGGCCCTCCTCCTTCTGCTTTGAAGATATTTAGGCCTTTCTTTCTTTTCTTTCTTTCTTTTTTTTTTTTTTGACTTTACAAGAAAAGAAAGAGGAGTAGTGCAGTCGGCTCTGTTGCTTTTGCAACCTGGCCCGGTAACCCTCCCGAGCTCCTACTGTGCGCCGCCCCTTGATAGGAGCGTTTTTTACTTTGGAGCTTTTAGCAGCCTGCAGATCCCTGTGTATAGAGCGCTCGGGAGGAGCGCGGGAACCTCACCCTGCGCCCTGCTCTGCCCTCCGGAGCCTGGTAGGTCGGGGCTTCACGCGGAGCCAGGTCCCCCGAGAAAGAGGAAGTGAAAGAGGGGCCGTTGCATGTGGTAATGTGGTTCCCTGAGTACAGCTCTTGCTGTGCCTCCTGTTAATTTCTTTGCTGTAAACTAGCCCTGAGGTTTGGGAACTCAAAATCTGGCTCTGCCGCTTACAAGCTGGCTGGCTGGCTGGCTGGCTGGCTTTGCACTAGTGGCTTCATTTCTTTGAGCCTCAGTTTCTTTATCCTTTAAAAGGGGCTGATGATAATATCCCCTTCGTTATGAAGTGGTGATTCTGAATCGTTGGTGCCTTCCTGGCCCAGAGTAATGGCGAGATCACTATCAGCTACCGCCTGGCCAAAGCACAGATCCACATTGCTTAGCCCTGCTGGAAGGACTTTCAGGGTTTAAAAAAAAACAAAACAAACAAAAAAAAAACTTTTCTTTCCTGGTGCTCGAGATGGAGGGGGAAAAAAATTAAAACCCAAATCAGATTGGTTGGATAATCTTAATTGGTGAAATGATAGTAGGAAATAGTAGGATAGCTGTCATTTCTGACCACCCTCTCCTATGGGTATACAGACACTTCTTGTGGAGGTTGGGGTTCTACTGGGAAAAGATGGCTTTGTAGGTGGCCAAGGAGGGAGAGAGCATGACCCAACACTTGAGTGCAAAAAGATTCTCATCCAGTCTGCCTGGGCGTGAAGGGTATGAGCAAGGTGAATCTGCACTTACCTCGTGCTGTTGTTCTTGAATGACTTGAAGGCAAAAGTCTTTTGTTTTAGAGCAAAAAGAAAGTTGACTCGTGCAGGTGTAAGCACGGGCAACTCGTGTCAGGGGATGGTCCTATGTGAGAGTCTAAGGTCTATGGAAATGAAATACAAAATGATACTTGAGGGCCTAACCTCTGGTTTGATATCAGTAAGACAGCTCTATTCTGGCAAGGAGTCTGAGAATCTCAGGGTCAGAATTCTTTCTGGGCTGAAGCAGGGTTTGTGCCTTCAATAGGGATAGTACAAATTTGTTATTTGCTTGAAATGTGTTAAGTGCTTCTATAGATAGAGCAACTGAACTCATCCTTAGAACAACCCTATGATAGGTACTGTTAATGTGTTCATTTTGTGGGTAGGGAAACTAAGGCACAGAGTGGTGACAGGAGTGACTTCAAGTCAAGGTGAGTGACAAAGCCCGGAATGGAACCCAGGGAATGTGGGCCTAGAGTCCACACTGGTACTTCCTAAGTCTTCCTGCCTCATGACCCTTTCTGGATCCCCCCATCAATGTAGCATCTAGGGGCTGACCTGACATTTCCTGCCAAGTGTAGCCCAGACTGGCCAGGCTTGGGGGAGATTGTTTTGTTACTTTTAAACAAAAACTGGGTCTGCTGGCAACTGTAGTTTTAAGCATGCCTGGGGTTACTAATTGGAGCCAGACCGGCACGGCACGGTAGGTTGTGAAGTTTGAGGGTGTTTAAAGAAACACCCCATATTCTAATCTAGGCCGTGTCTAAAATAAACCCGTGATGTTCTGGTTTGGAGCATGGGGCTTGCTGTCCAACAGACGAGGGCTGGAATTTCTAGTTCAGTGATCTTGGGCCAGTTGTTTGACCTCTCTGTCTCATTTATACAGAGATAAATTGGAGGGCTAAATGCAATTAGTCAGGTTGTACAATACTGGGTACTGAATAAGCCTTTTAGTAAGTGGTGGAAGATATTTATATAAGAAGCAGTTTCATCTGGTAGGAGAGTGATATACTCATTTATTTTTTAAAAACTATTAAGCAACTTGTGCATGAGTGTTCATTGCTGCACTTTTCTCATTAGACAAAAAGTGGAAATAACCCAAATGTTTATCAACTGATGAATGGATTAACTGTGGTCTGTGCAAGCAGGGAATACTATCCAGCCATAAAAAGGAATGAAGCACTCGGATTAAACTTGAAAATCAAATGAAAGAAGTCAGACAGAAAAGGTCACACGTTGCATGATTCCATTTATATGAAATAATCCAGAACAAGCAAATCCATAGAAACTGAAATTAGATAAAATAGTTGCTAAGGGGCGGGGGGGGGGCGGGGAGGAGATAGGGCATGACTGCTTAGTTGACAGGGGCAATGAAAATGTTCTGGAACTAGCTAGAGGTAATGATTGCACAACAGTGTGAGTGTACTAAATGTCACTGAATTGTATACTTTAAAATGGTTAATTTTATGCATGTGTATTTTATAACAATTTAAAAAAATTTCTTAGGCACATACTATATGAGCAGAAGCCAGACAAAATGTCCCCTCTTGAGGACCTTTCATGGGACAGGCAACAAATAAGTCAGATACATAAAACAAGATTATATCAGAGTGATAAGTGCCATTAAAGAAATAAAAAAAAAAAGAAAGAAGAGAAGATGATGCAATAATAATGAAGAAGAATCTTTGTTTAAGCTGAATGGGCTGCACCATTCTAAGAGAGAAGCTCTGTTATTATCTTCCCTTTTTTATGGACGAGGAGAGCAAGGCGTGGAAAGGTTGAATGAATCTCTTGGCCCTCCCCCCCACCGTCCGGCTAAGCAGTGCGAGAGGGCTGGGAGTGCCCACACTGGTAACCTCTGCAGAATTGGAAATAACTGGAATAGAGTGGCCAGGAAAGTGAGCTGAGTGAGAAGGAAGTAGAGCGACAAGAGTGTTCCAGGCAGAGGGAACAGCATGAGCAAAGGTCCTGTGGTGGGAGTGGATTTAGTGTGTGTGGGCCAGGGAGGTCAGTTGTAGGGCTGTGACAGTGAGCAAGGGACAGAGGGAGACAGCTATGTCACACAGGACCTAGGGTTTAACAAAACAGGCTCAACAGTGATACAAGAAAGACCTTGGGGGGAGCCAAGAGAAGGGGGTCCAGTGCCCCGCCTGGAGGCATTGGGTAGGGGGGTGGAGGAAGGGGTGTGAGTTGGGTCTGGGAAGATGGGTTGGCAGGGAAGGAAAGGGCTGGAACAAGGTTGGGGCCCAGTTCACAGGCTGGCTGCATAGGGATGTGGATCTTGGGGAGCACAGGGGAAAAAATATAGCTGGACCCATGCCGTGGGAGCATCTGAATCCTAAGCTGAGATCTGGTGGTTTTTTTTTCCTTTGCTTTTTAGTTGTTGTTGTTGTTATTATTTAAGAAGCTTAACATTTATGGTGGTGGTGGTGTTTTTTTTTTTTTTTTTTTTTTAAATAAGGCCACAATTGCATGGAATGCCATTTCAAATAGCTCAAAAGTGAAAAAAGAAGAAATCCGCTTGCCACCTCGGATCCCATCTCTAGTCTCCTTCCCGAGCAGCCAGATTATTCTGAGCATACAGATAGATCCTGCCTCTTCATAAGTTTTCTGTTTGTTTTTCATTATGCATGCTGTTCTACTCTTCCTTTTCTTCTCCTCCTCCTTCGTTTTTAATTAATAAATTTTGGAGACCAGATCCTATTGGTACATAAAGCTTTGCTTCCTTCTTTTTTGAGGGCTGCAAAAAGCAAACTATTGATCAGGATATACCATAATTTAACCCACCCCTGTTGGTTGATATTTTGTTAGCTTTCCGTCTTTTGCTCCTCCAAACCCGGCTGCAATAAAGGTCTTCATCTAGAAATTTTTCTGTGTGCACATAGACAAGTTCATCTGCAGACTGTTAGAGATGGGATGGCTGAGTCAAAGGGTCTGCACATTTACAAATTTTTAAATTGAATTATAATTGGTGTACTTTTTCTGCATGAGAATTGTAAAGCATAATGAATCGTCACACCGAGTGCACCTGTATCACCAGCATGCAAATCTTGATATGGATTGTCACAACCTGCCTATTCCCCATCCCCCAACCCAAGACAACCCTTCTCCTGACTTTGACAACATAAATTACTTTTGTCTTTACACCCAGTTCCAGTTTCATACACGCTTTTAACACCAAGAGAAAGACTACTGGATTGTTTTCCAAAGAATGACAACAGTTTCTACTTCTACCAAACATGTGAAGGCTGGCTTCCAAACTTTCTCCAATGAAGTGTGTCGTTAAATTTTATTTATGTTTGACATAGATGGTATTTTCACTTATTCAAAACCCATTGGCCTTTTCCATTCTGGAAACTGCCTTTTGTTTTCTTGGCCATTTTTTCTATTGAGTTGTTGGTCTTTTGTTCTTTAAGAGGCTTGCATTGTTAGCTGTTTACAAGAAAGT